TTTCAGCCGCTTCTCGGGCGGGGGAGCCGCTTCCGCGGCTTCCACAGTTCCTGCCGGCGCTGGCAAGAAAACAGCGGCAGCGCCAGTGGGAACCGTGGAAGCTACGGAGGACGCTCCCCCGCCCGAGAAGCAACTGAAACACTTCTACAGTTCCCGCTGGCACTGCCGCTGGTCTCTTGCCAGTGCCAGCAGGAACTGTGGAATCTACAGAGGTGGCTCCCCTGCCCAAGAAGTGGCTGAAACGCCGCTGGTGGAGGAATGTGAAGAGAAAGCAACAGCGGCGGAGGAAGCAGCAGCTGTGGGCGCCGAAGTTCTTGCAATTTAATGTGCCCTGCTGAGGCCGACATCCACACTGCCACCACCCACCCACTGACCCGGCCTGCAACCAACACCATACCCGGGTCTGCAGCAAAGGCGCTTGGTGGGGGTAGGGAGCCCTCCGCGTTCCGCCATGATTGGTCATTAGGAATGACTGGTGGTGAGGCATGGCTGCCTGCGGAGTACTCTAGGCGAGGGTGTGTGGGGGAAGAAATTAATTCACCCCCAAAAAGACAGCCTAGCCATTTTTTTCGGGGCTCAAAAAAAAAAAGGAAAAAAAAAGACCCGGCCTTACTATATGAGATACTAGATATATATTTTGCGAGTATGAACTTCTGTATAGTATTTTCTTAGCTTCAAAGCCATAATAAAAGATTTGCTTGTGATTATAGGACTCTGCAAAGCATTCAGAAGAAGGGCTTTGTTTGCCCACCTACTCATTTCTTTCAGATGCTTTGCCAGACCTGATATGTAGCAAAATTCAGTTGTGCACAGCATATACCAAGCTTAAAAGGCACCATAGAGCCTCATGATCAATAAGCTGAGAATTCAGGCAGCAGGCTCTTATTTTGGTCTGGTCCAGCAAGAAATTATTTGCTAGGTGGAGCTGGGTTTGCTGATAAACTGCTTTTGAATTTTTGCATTGGTACTTACTCCTGCTGTTGCTCTAGTAGACATGCAAATAGAGCCCCTAATCAAAACAGGAGTTGCCAAATGCTCCAAAAGAAAAGACAAAAAAAAAAAAGAATAATCAAGGAGCAATCCTCGTATCAGAATTGCATTTGCTGATTTATATGTTTCTGCGAATTAAAAAAAAAACAATAGACGTTCAGCACATACATACTAGAATAGAGAATTTAATGAGCAATGTGCATTATTTCAGTCTCCTGCAATCTTTCTGAATCTTAGCAGCTTTAAGATGTATGGACTTCAGTGCCCAGAATGGGAGTTGAAGTCCATCTATCAAAGTTACCAATGTTGAGAAACCACTGTCCTATAGTACAGGTGGTTCTCGACCTGGGACCATATTTGAGCCCACAATTTTGGTCATAAGTCATGATGGATGTAAAGTGAGCTACCGCATGACTGTGCGTGATCTCAACGCCATTTTTTGTGGTGGTCTTAAATGAATGCTGTTAGGAATGTAAGTCACCTAACAGTTGGGTTGGAAATATATAAACCAGGATAGACATTTTAATACTGTCTCTTTAAGGGAATGCTAAAATTGTAATTGGGTGTGGTTCCTCAAACAGCCATAAGATGGAGCCAGAAACCTGTTTTCCCAGAGAGTTGCTAGTTGCTAGATGTTCTGATGGTTGCTGTTTTTGGTTCCTGCATTTCCCTATTGACTGTTGCTGATCATTGTTATTCTTGGTTTGATGTGAGTATATTTACTGAACTGTGTATGATACTGGACTTTGTTATTTGGATTATCCCTGGACTGAAAACTGACTGTTTTAACCGTGAGTGACTTGGACTGTTTGTTGGACTTTGCTTAACCGTTTACTGGAAGTAAAACATACATTTTACTATTCAGTGTATCTGTGTACTGGTCGTGTGTTATTCAACATCACTCTCACTATGTCTCCCTGTGTGCACTCATTCTCCTTATGGGGAATTACCTCAACAAATTCCACGGTCATTAAGCGAATACCTCCTATAGGGTAGTTTTTGCTGGGGGAAAAACAAAACTTAAATCCCGGTTTCAAGCAAAAACATCCTAAATCGTGGTCACATGACCACGAGATGCTTACTGCAAACATTTGCTAATGCTACCCAATTGATGAGTGCCCGTAAGTAAGTCATGTGACTGCACCCATTTTTCTTGATGGTTTTTCTTTTTGTGAACCAATTGTAAATCGAGGACCTCCTGTAGGTACTGTGGGTGAGTACCTTCAAGGATCTTGTCCTTTCTCATCATGGGGCTTAGTCTTGAAACCAAGCCGTTCAGTGACATCCTTTCGCAGAGAATGTTGCATTCTTTGAAGCAGGATACATGGAAATGCTTCCTGAACCAGGAACATGGCTATATTACTGCAACGTCTTGGTCAGTTAGTCCTGGTACAAATGACACAGCAGGGTGATCTGCCCTCCACAGTGGCACATTTGGAAATTTGGAACATAACGTTTTCAAGAATGAAGCCTATAAACTAGGTTTATAAACCTGTTGGAGCACGATAGCAAGCAAGCTCAACATTTTGGAAGCTGAAGAAAGCAGGACCAAGCCGAAACTACACTTAGTGTAATTGATGTGTAAATATGTTTAAAAATAAAGTTAACTATTAAATGGCCATATTGATTCCAGTTTATGCAAGGTTTTGAGGGCTGCATGAAGCCCTCAGGCATCAAGCTGTTTACCCCTGTGTACGAACACCCAATTCTAATTTGGAAAACTGTGCTAAAGCTATTGGAAGGTTGCAGGATGTCTCCTGCAAACTTTTTGCATTTACATTAATAAATAAATTTTACAGGAAATTAAGATAGCACATCTAAGAGTTGCATTTAAAAAAAAAAAAAGCAAACCAATATTGTCCAAGAGCTTTTAACAGCCTAAAAATCTTTCACATTTATTCTCATTAATTCCAGCACTGATTAACACCTCATTATTAATCAACTGTGGAAATCAACCTCAGGACTTGACAGTTTGAGATAGTTTGAGCCTGAATTTAGGGGAAATGAATTTCCTGAATAGTTTCAATTAATTTTTAGCTTGATGCCTGTCTTTTCAGATTGCATGATTAATCAGTTGCATCTTACTGCATTATTTTTCTCTGTTCTCTTCGACCTCTAACAAGAGAATATTTCCCATTAGTAATTAAAGGTATTTGGAGAAAATTGGTTGGAGCTTGTTTAAAAAAAAAAGTCGAGAAGAGACTCTGTTTCTCATGGTATGCTCCGATTTCTTTTCATGTGTGCAAGAAAATTGGCTGAAATAATACTTAGTAATCTTAGAAATGGGATCTATGTCCAGGAACATCCATATTTTTCTTTCTAAAAAATCAGTGGACAGTAGCCCTGTGTTACAATAATACATATGAGGATAGTTCATTAGTGTGTGTTAAATTTCTCATATTGAAAATCAAGGTAATACCATTATTGCATTGGCAAGTATAGTCAAGTTCTATTAAGGTTTTTCCAAAGGTTTTTTAGCAATACCATATAGTTGCTTATGAACAATATTTTTTCTGATTCCTGTTCTACTCTGTGAGAATTATTCTGCTTTTTAATGAATTTATTCTACAGATCATCGCAGGGCAGCAGTTTAAATTTTGAAAGGGTGGAATTGAGTCAATCTTAAATCCTGATAGTCACATGGAAAACTCTTTGCAGATCCCTACACATTTCCAAAAATCATTTGCCATTACGTAGCGCTAATAAAGAATGAATGGCTTAAGATTGCCAAGATGTCTTTTTGTGCTTAAGGCAGGACTACCACTCAGCTTTCTGTGTTCCTAAAGTAGCACCTTAATCCCTAGACCCCAGTGGCTTTCAGTGTAAACTCTAGCATTGTCAAATATCAGGGAAATCACTAATCCAGTGCAAGTTGGCTGAAGATCAGGTAATGTGATTGATAAAAGTATATCTGATGGTTTTATATATATATATATATATATATATATATATATATA